AGTGAAGTAAAGGATGCAACCCTCTCTGTGTAAGATACAAAAAGGATGATGCGAAAAGCAGAAAATGAAAGAACCCTAACTGGTATCAGTGAATCCTCACTGGAAATACATGCTGTCAGGATAGGGGCAAAATTGGTTATGGCCCGTAAGGTAAATCAACTTGATAATCATAACAATCACTTTTAAATCAACTTCAAAGATACTGTAAAAAAAAAACAGAAATTTAAATCAGTACTAAAATGTAAATCAGTAGTTAGTAAACCCTTCATGTGAATGCACCCATAAGGAATTGTGATTAGTAAAGAGAAAAAAAACAAAAATTTGGACAACAGTACTATGTGACCTAACCCACTTACTGTTACCTGGCCGTTTACCTGACTCCAGGAGCCCACAGCACGTCCATCTCAACACACCCTAAGTCTGCGCGTGACGTATAACATGAAAGACAACCATGCACACTCACAAACAAACAAAAGTGTGTAACCGGAGATAGACGACTGTGGAACCACCGAGCCTGATAACAGGGATCCTCCATTCTCTACGTCCCTGATGTTGGAGGAGGAGGAGGCGGAGGAGGAGAGGAACTCACCGGCTCTGGCGCAGACGCCTGGGCAGCCGGTCTATCGCGACGCAGTTCCAAGGTCCGAATCAGGCGTCCGCTAACATCAGCGATCGACGTCTCCAGAATTTCCAATTCGGCGTAGAACCGACGGTATTGGAAAAGGAACATAGCCCAAATCGAGCAGATGTTTATGCTAATAATGAATATCATCACCGAGTCAGAGGAGGACCAGGAGTAAGACACTGGTTGATACCGAAGATCGGGATCCGACTTCAGCTCACGCAGCACCCTGTTCACCACACCCACTTGAACCACGGTCGGACCGCCGAACGTCACCCGATCCACCGTCCTTCTAGAGAGAGCAAAAGAGATGTTATCATAGAAAGGAGAGGACTCCACTACAGACCTATGCTCACCAGGATCCAAGTGATATAGAGAGACCTCACCAACGTGGACCGTAGCACCACGGGGAACCGTTACCCATAAGGTCTCAGATGGTAGCACCACCTTTGTAGACACAGAACCCTCAAAGCATCTAAGCTAAAGATCTACCTTCAAATCAACCAACAGCACTCATTTTCTATAATGTCAGAATGCCTCTCCCAGGTCAGATCCTGGCTTTCTCAAAACTGCCTACGGTTACATGACAGCAAATCAGATGCCATACTTTTTAGCCCCACTAACATGAATGGTGCTTTAGATGTCTCAACTCTCCCACTCAATCTCAAATCATGTGCCACTAGCCTAGGTGTGAAACTGGACTCTGACCTTTCAATGTCTTCACAAGTCAACGCTACTGTCAAGTCCTGCTTTTTCCAACTCCGCCGCATCACTCATCTTAAGTCAATCCTCAAACGCCCGGATCTTGAGTCAGTCATTCATGCTTTTATTACTTCACGTCTGGATTACGCAAATTCTGTCCTTATTGGGATTGATGCTTCAGCCTTAAGGAAACTGCAGAAGGTTCAAAATGCCGCAGCCAGATTTTTAACCAACACCGACAGACGCATGCACATCACACCCATCCTCGCAGATTTACACTGGCTCCCAGTCAAATTTAGGATTAACTTCAAGGTCCTGTTATATGTTTACAAGGCTTTGTACTGCCCATCCCCATCCTATCTGATGGACCTGCTGACCCCATATGTTCAAACCCGTGCCCTTCGGCCAGCAGATTATCTGCTGCTTGTTGTTCCAAAGGTTCGGTACAAATCACGGGGGGAGCGTGCCTTCTCTTATGCAGCCCCAGAACTCTGGAAATCTCTGCCCCTCCATGTGCGTCTGGCTCCCTCTGTTAGCAGTTTCAAGTTGGCCATGAAAACGCACTTCTTTAGCATAGCCTTCCCTCCGTGACACTTTTCATGACAATCTAGCACCAGATTTGAGTTTTTAATTCCATTTTTATGATTTAGTTGCTCACTTTTGGCACCTCGCACCATCTGGTATTTTATTTCGTTTTATTTGTGCCATTTCAAATGTTTTTATTATTCGTCGCATTATTTTATTTTTATAGTGCTGTTAACTGTCCTCCTATTTGATTGTTTTTAGTAGAAATTTTTATCTCCGACTATTTATGCTTTGGTCTTATGTATTTTGCCTGTTCTTATTGTGTTTCTTGGTCAAGCATTTGGTTTTTTATGTACAGCACTTTGGTTAGCTGCCATGCTATTTTGAAATGGTGCTTTATAAATAAATATGGTATGGTATGGTATGGTATGGTATTAAAGGGATAAATTAGCAGTAGCACATCCAACGTCAAGGAAAGCAAATATTTATTATCAGGAGAGGGAGAAAGTTTGTGGTTAGCAGCAGTATGCTAGACGATGGCCCCCTCCATGAGGCCACCACAGCTCAGCAGAACATCATTGTAGCTTCTTCTGGGGAGAAAAACACTTAGAGAGAAAATAAAGTTAACAGCTGAAATAGCAGGAAATAATACAGTTAAAGAGCAGATTGTAGAAGAAAGTAGTAGTGTGTGGAAAGTGGTCAGTGTATCCTCCAGCAGTCTAAGCCTATAGCAGCATAACTACAGAGATAACCTTGGATTATCTATCCTATTTAGATGTAGGCATGTTGGAGGCAGAGCATGGGAGAGCCGTCTTTACCGACTGTACACTCCACCTCCCTCTACTCCCCCACTTGTCCAGATCTAGGCTAACATCAGATTTTAACCATAGGCTCTATCAAATAAAAATGTTTTAAGCCTAGTCTTAAAAGTAGACAAGGTGTCTGCCTCAAGGACTAAAGCTGGGAGCTGGTTCCACAGGAGAGGAGCCTGATAACTAAAAGATCTGCTCCCCATCCTAATTTTAGATATTCTGGGCAAGGGCGTAGGAACCCGGGGGGGGGGGGGGGGGGGGGGGGGGGGACTGATGGGACATGTCCCCTCCAATATTGGACAAACGCACATTTGTCCCCCCCAATAACATGGAGAAGAAAAAAATGATTTTGAAATATTTGACTTGCGAGCTTTTATTTTGAAAGACACCGCAGACTTCTCACTGACACAGCCCCTCCCCTCAGGCAGTAAGGCTGGCTGAGTGAAGCGGGATAAGAGCCGGGATGACAGCAGCTCTGCGAGTTCTTCTCATGGGCAAAAAAGAAAGAAAGGAAATGCGAGTTGGTAATAATTTAGTCCAAGAGGATAATTGTATTTCTGGTCAAACGCTAGACTGGCTGACTAACGTAAACATCTTGCTAGGCAGCATTAAACATTAAACAACACTGCTAGTCAACAAAAAATGGTGAACTTGACACGATTCGACAGTAACAGACAAAAACCATTTGACACAAAATAAATAAAAAAGTAGACTCTCCACATAAAAATGGAATTTGTAAGTGTGATTGTTGCTTGTTTGTGACATTCTCATCACATTTCATTTTTTATACCTTATTGATGTCACTCTTTTCATATAAGAGACCAGAGGAAGTTCAGCAGGAAAATGATGAAGAAGGTGAGACAGGGAGCACCAGACCTGCTGAGGGTGAGACAGGCAGAGCCAGACCTGCTGAGGGTGAGACAGGGAGCACCAGACCTGCTGAGGGTGAGACAGGGAGCACCAGACCAGCTGAGGGTGAGACAGGGAGCACCAGACCTGCTGAGGGTGAGACAGGGAGCACCAGACCTGCTGAGCTGCAGGCAGGTGCTACAATGAAGAGTGAGGTTTTAGATGGTTGATGATGAGAGGAAGATTCGATAACAAGTGAACACGACTAAATAATACTGTAACAACCATGATTTTAACGTTGCACTAGGAAAACGACCGGTTCGGCTGGCTCCGGTGAAGTGGAGACGGTCATACTGGGAAGTTTCGGTAATGGAAACACACCAGTTAGTGCCTGGCTGGTTTATAAAAGACACCCGTTCCTCCTTTTGGTGTGAGGATGCCAGCTGGTCCTGTTCCCCTGCAGATAGCTCATCAGTACTTAATACAAGTTGTTTATTGTGTATCTACGTTGGTGTTAGTTTGGGATGTTCTGATCATACCAGCAACACCTGTGTGAACCCTGTGTGCAGCACTTGGGCTTCTTCCCCTTTTCCTTCATGCTGTGCAGGACAGCAGCAACAATGTAAAACAACATGTCCGCCTAACTTTAACTCCGTCTGCGAGAGTGATGTAAGCTTTGAGTCCTGCAGTGAAAAGCTCCAGCTCCTGGGGAAGCTGATCACAGCTGGTTTAATACGACGTAAAGAACAAAGTCTGGGTGGAGTGAGGTGAGTTTCCAGGGATCGCTGCAGAGATAAACACCTCCCAGTCAGACGCAGCTACGCTCACCAACACCCGTCTGTATGAGCGTCAGAAGGCTCGGCTAATAACCGGACCATGAGGAAGTTCATGATGCTGGAAGAGCAGCCTTTCTCTGTGGTGGAAGAAGAACCAAGTTTATTCATACAGCACGTGTCCCAGACCGAGGTCACGAAAGGAATCACAATAAAACGCTGAAAAATAATACAATGAGTAGAAAACAACAGGCTCCGCCCACTGCTCAGTCACTAAGTAACCCACTACTACTACTACTACTAATAATAATAATAAATCTCCCAAAATGCTAATTAGTAAGATTCCTTTGCTTTGTAGTGCTCTAGCCTGCTGAGAGCTTCAAAGTGAAAGGTTGTTACTGACAGCAGCTACATCTAAGTGTTTATTCATTTTCCTTTTGACTGAATAGTTGCTGATTTGATCTTGGAGACGTTTCTCCTCACATCAGCTTCAGATCTAAAGCTTGGGTTGTGAGTAGGAGGCTTAGAAGTTCTGGTCAGAAACAAACACGCTGATTGTGATGGAAGTTTTTATTGTTCCTAAAGTAGAAATCTGTTTTTATCTAAATGAAGTTCATGTTCTTGTTCCTTTTCCCCACATCATGTAGCCAGTATCACTCATGGTGTAAATATAAAGGTATGGTGGTCTGTAACATCATGTGTCTGTGTTTCCTACAGATGTTCCACAGCTGGTGCTGGTTAAAGAAGAAGCTCCTGAAGAACAGAGTGCTGGTGTGGACCAGCAGGACCCAGAACACCTCCACATAAAGGAGGAACAGGAGGAGCTCTGGACCAGTCTGGAGGGAGAGCATCTCTGTTTGAAGGAGGAGACTGAAGCTGTCGGGTCTCCTGTTACTGCTGTTTCTATAAAGAGTGAGGATGATGAGGAGAAACCTCTGGTCTCACAGCTTCATCAGCAGCAAATAGAAGACAGAGATGTTCCAACCAGCAGCTCAGCTGACCAGATGGCAGCAGAAACTGGTGGAGGAGCAGGAACTAGCAGGAACCCAGATCTGAACCCTCATGAACAAACATCTGGTTCTTCAGAGACTGAAGTTAGTGGAGATGATGATGATGATGATGATGATGATGATGTGAATCTGGACTCTGAGCTGTCAGACTCTGGGTCTGAAACTGGAGATGAAGATGATGACTGGAATGAGAGCAGGTCTTCTGAGTCAGATGGTAAGTCTGTCAACAAGTTCTTCACAAGTGGTCTCTCCAGAGACACGTGAGGGAGACGAGTCATCCAGCAGTCAGGTCTTCAGGCTGTTTGGTTCATAAGAAATGTGTTAGAGTGCAGCAACATGTAGACTCGTGCAGGAAAGTCCAGAAGAAACCTAAATCATTTAGTCCTGATGACTGGAGAAAGGTTTACTACAAATGTAAACAAACAAATCACATGAGAGTCCACACATAGCAGCTGCTGTTCCAGAGTATGGGCCAGCCTCATCCCACCCATACTCTGCTTCTGGTGTGTGTGTGTGTGTGTGTGTGTGTGTGTGTGTGTGTGTGTGTGTGTGTGTGTGTGTGTGTGTGTGTGTGTGTGTGTGTGTGTGTGTGTGTGTGTGTGTGTGTGTGTGTGTGTGTGTGTGTGTGTGTGTGTGTGTGTGTGTGTGTGTGTGTGTGTGTGTGTGTGCGTGTGTGTGTGTGTGTGTGTGTGTGCGTGCGTGCGTGCTTTTAGACATAGAATGATACATTCAGTTAATAATAAACATAACATAATCCCTCCTGTTTATCCGAATAGGATAACCAAACAAAAAGAAAACAAGAACAAATAAAGTAATCAAAACCTTCAAAACCTCTCGATTCACTGCGCTTCTCTCTCCAGCTCCTCTCAGTCTGGCTTTTCAACTGTTTGTGCAGACCTCTTAATCAGCTGATATGCACCAGCTGCCCTGTGGGGAGCAGCAGCAGGCCAAAGGGTTCCAGATAATGGCTCCCTCTGGTGGGGGAGTTTAGCTGGATCATGGGGTTCACCTCACAGGATGAACAGAGGGAGATAAACTCATCAGCCCAAATACAGGGGGCTGTAACATGAGTGTGAATTAGTCTCATAAAAATGTTGTAAAATATCTGATGATCCATAATCATTTTTGTCAGGCATATTTTTTCGTTTCTCTGAGCAGAGACTGTCTAAACGTCATGGTAGAAAATAGTTTGCATTTTGCAAAAAATCATGTTGATGAGTTTATTTGAATTATTCCAACAAGAAGTATGTAAATGCCAGAGCAGGTCACTACAAACCCCACAGACGGGAGGGGGGCATTGTAGTTGTCACCTTTTTCCACACCCCGAGTTTGCAGGTATGTTACCACCAGCGTAATTAGCAGTCTTACTGCATTTACGCTTATCCTTAGCCAGCAGTTTCAGGTAGGATTTAATGTCGCCCGCTCTGGCCCCAGGTAAACATTTGACTATGGTTGCTGGAGTCTCTGCCATGTTTCTGACTATGGAGCTGCCAATTACCAGAGTTGGGTTGTCAATGGGCGCGTCACTGAGTGACCCCAGCAGGGTCTAAAAAAATCTGGTCCCAATCAATTTTTATCCATCAATGTTTTAAGCTATTGTCAGACCATTTAGATAATAACAAATTTAAGAAGTTTTTCAATCAGCTTTTAGAGCAAAGCATAGTACGGAAACTGCGCTTGTGAGAGTGTTCAATGATATTTACCAATATACTGATGTGGGTGACAGTCGTTTTATTACCCTTTGATCTGACCGCTGCTTTTGATACTCTTGATCATGTTATACTTCTCAATAGGGCTGCAACAACGAATCGATAAATTCGATGAAAATCGATTACTAATAGCGTTGGCAACGAATTGCGTCATCGATTCGTTGTGTCGCACAACTCTTCCAAAAGCGCCCCCCCCCCCTTCCCGCCCGCTGTTGCGCGCAGACAGATCAGCGCAAGGGAGAGCCAGCAGGTGTTTGGAAGAGGAACATGGCAGAAGCAGCGAGAGTCAAAAAAGTAAAAACTTTTTAAGTTTGGGAGCATTTTCAGTTAAATCAGGCGAAGACATTCGTTACCTGCAACGTTTAGGTCAGACGTCGCATGGCACAGGATGATGCAGCGTCTTACACGCAAGCATGTCGGGATAATCAGCGAGGAAGGAGAGAACTCTGTGTCCGGGTAAATTAAAAACTTTTCAAAAGTGATTCATCCAAGTCCCGGATTATTACACAGGCTAGGCATGCCCTAAGCTCGTAAAAAAAGAGTCTAAAGTCGTGAGCGCGACGCTTATTAGATGGGGGGGGGGGGGGGGGGGGGGACTCGCGCTGCTGCGAACCGGTTCCGCCCAAGGCCGGATTAACTGGGCATTTGCCCAGGGCCCACGAACTCTAAAGGGCCCAGGGCACGAGCAAAATACTGTATCTATAATTTCCCGCTTTATGAGGACTATGGTGACCGTACGTTCCGTTTTCCCCGGACGTGTCCACTTTTCACTCTCTGTCCGGGCGTCCGGACTGCGGGTTCTTGTATTGATGAAAATGTCCGGCTTTTCATCCAGGAGCAGGGATCGAATTATGGGGGAGCTGTATATCCTCTACACATCCAGGGGAACCGGAAAAAAGTTTTCTATATTATATCATTTTTGGACTCTTTTGAGCAGAGAGCGGCACAGCGCATTGCTGCGCAGCGATCCAGGCTGCTGCTTCCGGCGCACGGTCCATTCTCAAAGTGGCGCAACCAAAAAACTATAATTAGCACACGATCGTTCATGTCTGCACATGTTCTCTATTTTCTGTCTTATTTGTGCCTGAAGCGCGCTACTGCGGAGCTCATCACCTGTGCTGTGGTGATGTCACCTCACACAGCATCGACAACGCGCTCTGCGCTTTGTGGTCAGGAGATCCCTTTGATCTGCTCAGAAGTAACTGATGAGGTGAAAAGGTAAGAATCCAGGCAGCAGTTTTTCTGGAGTATTAAGAGGAGATGCAGGAAGATGAGAGACAGACAGGACAGGAAAATATAGTTAAATAAAAACAAGAAAACAAAACAAAGTGTTGAAAAGTAAAATGTAGATAGATTTATCTCCACTACACGTTTTTACCTATAAAACAATAAGTTACACACATGTAATATTTATAAATTTGATACTATTCAGATCACCTTCAACACTCAGTCACACACCCAGGGCCGTTTCAAGACATTTTGGGGGCCAAGGCAAAATGCCCCCCCCACCCCACCCCACCCCATAACTGGGCTCCCCAGAAGCCTCTGTGTAATTCATACCCTCTCCAGTAGTGTTAGTTATACAGTGTTTATAAAAGCCCCTCAGACATTACTGACACGTTCTAATATTATCAGATGAAAAACTAAATTATCAGACATGCTGTCTCATCTGCTGCTTTTCTAAACTTGCAAAAAGTAACAAAACCATTTGAAAGCCACTATTTGTGGATTCTCTGAAAGTTTCCATGGAGTGTGTGACAACTTATTTTTTCAGTCATTTTTGGAAATAGTGATCAATTTTGATTAATTCACAGCCGATGTTTAATTACATTTAAAAATTAGTTGTTTGACATCCCCAGTTATAATAAATGTCTACAGATGAGATCAAACAAAACAGATGAGGATTGCCCTTAAGCTGTTTAACTTGGACCAAGCATTTTAGGTCACAGATAGATGTAGCTTAGGGTCTCTGTCTATACACCTTATAAGACAATTTAGGTGATGGCATGTTGTTTTTCTGCTATTGAACTGTTTTCTAATAATGTGTTAAATAAAGTGAAGGAAGGAGAGAAATAACATTTCCCTAGCAGTTTTAAAAAATTTCCCCATGTAATCCGATTAATCGATTAATCGTGTCGAGACCCCATCCGATTAATCGATTATCCAAATAATCGTTTGTTGCAGCCCTACTTCTCAATCGACTGGAGAATTTTTTTGGTCTCTGGTTCAGCGCTCTTCTGGATGAGTTCCTACCTGGCTGACAGGTATATGACTGTTAAGATTGGTAGCTTCAGCTCAATTGATGCTCCCCTGAAATATGGGGTCCCACAGGGCTCTGTACTTAGTCCTCTGCTTTTCAATTTATATTTGCTCCCTCTTGGGGCCATCTTTTGGAAATATGAGCTTGATTTCCATCTTTATGCTGATGACTGTCAGGTCTATGCTCCTGTTAAAGCTAAGGATTTAGCTCTGAGTTGTCTTCGTGAGGTTAATAATTGTGGATGGGTTGTAATTTTCTCCGGATTATTTAGTCTAAGATGGAAATGATTATGTTTGCACCAAGTGGTGCTCCTGTAGTTACTCAGTCTCATATGATGCAAAGGATGTTGTGTCTAATTTGGGTGTTAAGAATGATTCTCAACTTAAATTTGATGTTCAAGTCAATAATGTGGTTCAAGTATATTTTTTTCACCTAAAGAATCTTTATGTCCTTTTTGATGAGGAATTGTTTTGAGAAGCTTATTCATGCATTTAATGCATTTTGTTTAGACTACAGCAATAGTCTTTACTTGAGTATTGATTAGGGCTGCACAATATATCGAAAAATTATCGTCATCGGGATAACAGGACGTGGGATAGGCCCATCGCAAAGCACGTCAAAAACGGCGATAAATGCTTGGTTCAACATTTCCATCCGTGTCATACATCAACTTTTTGTAAACCAGCTCTTTTTTTTACGCGGAAGTATTATTTGACCAATCAAATGTAGCCCTTCTGAGATGCGGCCAATCAGATGGGTCCGTTCACGTAATACGCCCGCCCCCTACATAGACCTTTAGGATGGAAAGCAACACCCGAACTGAGTTAGCAGCGCCGTTCCCTTGTTCGTCATGCTGGCTCAGATTAACGAACGCACTTTGTGCTGAGGTTTCTGGAATCAGCGCTGCTTTCAAACGTGAACGTGAGTCCGCTCGGTGTCGTTAAGCAGCTGATAATAACCGGGCTGACTCAGACACGTGCCGATGAACCAACCCACCTACCTCCATGTCGCTAGTGTTCCACCGGGTGGTGATGTTAGCCCCAGGCTCCGGTTAGCTTCCAGCTAAAAGGCTACAGCACTCTCCTCCCAGTCCCACCCTGCTAAAGAGGGCCTGGAAAAGTTCTCCCACACATCAAAGTGATTTTTCCTTTATGAGCTTTTATAACCTTGTTAATCAGGATAGTTGATTTGCTGCTGCACATAAACTGTCAGTCAGAAGCTCTGCTAGCCGGTTATCTTAAGAGGAGCTAGTTCAATTTGTTAGCTTGTTACCAGAATCATAGTTGCAGTTTCATCATCTGAGCTGCTTTTTAAGATCTAGGTAAACTTGTTCAATTTGGGGTTAAAAGCAAACGTTTTCACATATTTTCCATGTAGTTTTTTTGCCAGTTCCTCTTCTGAAAGGTAGACAATTGTTTTTCTCTTTCCCTCAGAAAATCTTAATATTCTCCTAGTTTGGCCCAGCACAGTTCACTTCCCAATTACAGCAACAGCCTTATATCATAACCACATAAGTGGAGAAAATGTTCAGTAGCAATGAGAGAATTTGCTGTTGCGTTTAAGTGATGTTAACTATTGTTTAATATTTAAACTTGCTTTCTGATTTTTTTATTTATTCAAAAACCCTGGTAAGGGATGTTTTTCTGTATTTGGAGCATCAGAAAAAGTTTTATGGTGGAGGTGATGTTTTAAAGTCACTGAGAAACTGCATGCATGCAGTTTGTTATTTTGCTTCTAATTAGGGCTGCAACAACGAATCGATAAATTCGATTAAAATCGATTACTAAAAGCGTTGGCAACGAATTGCGTCATCGATTCGTTGTGTCGCACAACTCTTCCAGACCAGCGCAAGTCAGATCAGCGCGAGGGAGAGCCGGCAGATCAGCGCGAGGGATAGCCGGCAGATCAGCGCGAGGGAGAGCCGGTAGATCAGCGTGAGGGAGAGCCGGTACCAGCAGATCAGCGCGAAGGAGAGCCGGTACCGGCAGATCAGCGCAAGGGAGACTTGCGCTGCTGCGAACCGGTTCCGCCCAAGGCCGGATTAATTGGGCAATTGCCCAGGGCCCACGAATTCTAAAGGGCCCAGGGCACGAGCTAAATACTGTATCTATAATTTCCCGCTTTATGAGGACTATGGTGACCGTACGTTCCGTTTTCCCCGGACTTGTCCACTTTTCACACTCTGTCCGGGCGTCCGGAATGCGGGTTCTTGTATTGATGAAAATGTCCGTCTTTTCATCCAGGAGAAGGGATCGAATTATGGGGGAGCTGTATATCCTACACATCAGGGGAGCCGGAAAAAAGTTTTCTATATTATATCATTTTTGGACTCTTTTGAGCAGAGAGCGGCACAGCGCATTGTTGTTGCGCAGCGATCCAGGCAGCTGCTTCCAGCGCACGGTCCATTCTCAAAGTGGCGCAACCAAAAAACTATAATTAGCACACGATCGTTCGTGTATGCACATGTTCTCTATTTTATGTCTTATTTGTGCCTGAAGCGCTCTACTGCGGAGCTCATCACCTGTGCTGTGGTGATGTCACCTCACGCAGCATCGAAAACGCGCTCTGCGCTTTGTGGTCAGGAGATCTCTTTGATCTGCTCAAAAGTAACTGATGAGGTGAAAAGGTAAGAATCCAGGCAACAGATTTTCTGGACAATTAAGAGGAGATGCAGGAAGATGAGAGACGGACAGGACAGGAAAATAGTTTAATAAAAACAAGAAAACAAAACAAAGTGTTGAAAAGTAAAATGTAGGTAGATTTATCTCCATTACACATTTTTACCAGTAAAAAACATATTTATACATCTGATACAATTCAGATCACCTTCAAAACTCAGTCACACACCCAGGGCCGTTTCAAGACATTTTGGGGGCCAAGGCAAAATGCCCCCCCCCCCCCCCCCCCCCCCCCAATAACTGGGCTCCCCAGAAGCCTACCCTCTCCAGGAGTGTTAGTTATATGGTGTTTATAAAAGCCCCTCAGACATTACTGACATGTTCTAATATTATCAGATGAAAAACTAAATTATCAGACACGCTGTCTCATCTGCTGCTTTTCTAAACTTGCAAAAAGTAACAAAACCATTTGAAAGCCACTATTTGTGGATTCTCTGAAAGTTTCCATGGAGTGTGTGACAACTTATGTTTTAATTGATCGTATCGTCTAATCTCACAGCTGAAACAAGCATCCTTAATAATCTGTGCACAGGAAGCTTACCGATGCTGTAGTAAAACAAAAGGTATAATAATTTATTATTAATAAAACCTTGTTGCAGCACTAAAGCAGAAAAATGAGATTTTGCATTAAATATGCAAAATATTTACATATGAATTGTTTTAGAGCCCTTTTATTGGCAGAATCTGATATTAATTTAGTTCTTACAAAAAATGGGTCCCAACATGGTTTGTGTGGCGTTGCCATAGTGTGACATCATAGGCACAGATCCCCTGTCCTCTTGTTTGGAAATGGAAATATGGTCACCCTATTAAACAAACTGTCCACCCGGGCTTTTGCGCTGCACAGAGACGCTTCGCTGCCAATGACTGAACGTCAGTTGAGAATCAGTCTCATGCAGCTGACCAATGAAGAGAGGGCCTCAAGTTAAGACCCTCTCCTCATTGGTCAGTCCACACGAGGTGGGTCAAAGGTTACTCTGGGCGGGTTACGTGTTGTCAGGCATTCAAGTATTGAGTATATTTACTGCATATTACAGTAAAATATTCTGTATGTGACCACATTATGGTGATCCTCGGGTCGTGATGATGGAGCCCTTGAATATTGTTGCCCAGGGTACGACAAAGTGTTAATCTGGCCCTGGTTCCGCCGTCACATTCCCGCAGAAACTGGTTGATCACACCGGGGCCAGAACTCTAGCATGTGGCTTTACAACCACAATGTCCTCGGAAGCAAAAACGCTTTTAAAAGGGAGGGAGGAGTCCTAACTGTTGCTGCAGGCATGTTGTGTGAGAGTGCAGTTATATACTGGTTAATATATTTTTGGGTTCAGTTGCTTTCATGTGGCCTAATGTGAGTCTATTTGGGATCATTGGAATGATCAGCAGCATTTCTTGATGTGACTTTATGGCAGTTGCCCAGGGCATCATAACAAGGAGGATGGCATTCATTTACTTTTGTTTTATTTGGTATTTTTTCAGTCATTTTTGGAAATAGTGATCAATTTTGATTAATTCACAGCCTATGTTTAATTACATTTAAAAATTAGTTGTTTGACATCCCCAGTTATAATAAATGTCAACAGATGAGATCAAACAAAACAGATGAGAATTGCCCTTAAGCTGTTTAACTTGGACCAAGCATTTTAGGTCACAGATAGATGTAGCTTATAGGGTCTCTGTCTATACACCTAATAAGACAATTTAGGTGATGGCATGTTGTTTTTTTGCTATTGAACTGTTTTCTAATAATGTTGTGTTAAATAAAGTGAAGGAAGGAGAGAAATAACGTTTCCCTAGCAGTTTTTAAAAATTTCCCCATGTAATCCGATTAATCGATTAATCGTGTCGAGACCCCATCCGATTAATCGATTATCCAAATAATCGTTTGTTGCAGCCCTACTTCTAATACAGTAGCAGGTGCAGCTGCTAATACAGTAGCAGGTGCAGCTGCTAATACAGTAGCAGGTGCAGCTGCATGTTTTTGCAATAAAAATATTATGTTGTAATGGAATTCATGCATTAGTTTTTGTTTGCTTTGAACCCAGAGCAGACGTCACACGCCAGACGACATCAACACTGCATACTTTAGTATTTGTTCATTTATCGTGAGTAATATCGATTTCGCAATATTAAGCACTGTTATCGAATATCGTGCAGCCCTAATCTTGATCATGGGTGTATTGCTAGGCTGCAGCTAGTTAAAAATGCTGCAACCCGTCTTTAAACTGGCACTGGTCGATTTGATCATATCACTCCAGATGTTGCCTCTCTGCATTGGATCCCAGTTAAGATTTTGGTTCTGGCCTACAAATGTTTTATTGGCCTTACTTCTAGCTCTTTATCTGGAATTCTAGTGCCATATGAGCCATCTTGTGGATTAAGGTCAGCTGACCCAGTGAGCAGAATTAACTGTCATCACAAGCTGCTGATCTAGTAGCATGATGCTCATTATTATTTTATGGGTTACAGACGAGTGTTGATGCTCCGCGCCGTGATTTCGTTGTAGGATACAAACTTTACAGCACTCTCACAGAGTAAAGATTTGGCAGATATGTTTGTTTACATTTTTGCCCCTGCGCGTCTACAGTGTTAGGGAAAGGAAGGGAGAGGCCGACGTGATGCTGCTGTCAGGGTGTCTCTAGGCTCCACAGTAGCAGCGATGGACGGCTGGTTTGACCGGCTCTGAGAGGCGTAAATCAGAATTTGCAGATAGCATTTTTTTCCTTCTACCAATCGCATAGTGATGTCTGGACTTAAAAGCAACTCTTTAGATTCAGTTATTTGTTAAAGTAATGCATTACCATAAATAGTAATGTGTTTACCAACATTTGTTATGTATATTACTGATTGCAAAAACACCCCTAGGTCTTTTGTCTTCTCTTTTTACTGAATATTTTTCTTTTATATATTTCTGCTTGGTTCACTGCAGTTTCAAGGAAGAGAGAAGAAACGGATGAGAAACCTCTGCTCTTACATTTCCACAACCATCAAATGAAAGACGGAGGTGTCCCAACCAGCAGCTTGGCTGGGCAGATGACAGCAAAAGTTGGTGGAGGAGCAGAAATTAGCAAGAACCTAGATCTGGACCCTAAAGAAAAGACATCCGATTCTTCAGAGATTGAAGTTAGTCGAGAAGATGAAGATGATGTGAATCTAGATTCTGAGCGTTCAGACTCTGGGCCTGAAACTGGAAACGGAGATCATGGCTGTAATGAGAACAAGTCTTCGGGGTCAGATATTAGGACCGTCAACAAATCATTTAGCTGCCCTGTGTGTGGTACACGGTTCCTCCACCAGTGGTCTCTTCAGGAACATGTGAGAGTGACAAGTCATTCAGCAGTAAGGTCTTCAGAGTGTTCGGTTAATACAAAATGTGTGAAAGAGAAGCAACATGGAGGCTCATGTAGAAAAGTCCAGAAAGAACCAAAATCATTTAGTTGTGATGACTGTGGAAAAAGATTTAGCCAAAAGTCCAGTTTAACCCGTCATATGAGAGTCCACACCGGGCAAAAGCCTTTTGCCTGTGAGCTCTGTGGATACAGATGTACCTATAAGGCAAGTTTAAACACACATATGAGAGTCCACACAGGAGATAAGCCGTTTGCCTGTGAGCTCTGTGGATACAGATGTAGCCATAAGGCAAGTTTAAACACACACATGAGAGTCCACACAGGAGAGAAGCCTTTTGCCTGTGAGCTTTGTGGATACAGATGTACCCATAAGGCAAATTTAAACACACACATGAGAGTCCACACCGGGCAGAAGCCTTTTGCCTGTGAGCTCTGTGGATACAGATGTACCCATAAGGCAACTTTAAACACACACATGAGAGTCCACACAGGAGATAAGACTTTTGCCTGTGAGCTCTGTGGATACAGATGTACCCATAAGACAACTTTAAACACACACATGAGAGTCCACACAGGAGATAAGCCGTTTGCCTGTGAGCTCTGTGGATACAGATGTACCCAAAAGGCAAATTTAAACACACACATGAAAGTCCACACAGGAGAGAAGCCGTTTGCCTGTGAGCTCTGTGGATACAGATGTACCCATAAGGCAACTTTAAACACACACATGAGAGTCCATACAGGAGAGAAGCCGTTTGCCTGTGAGCTCTGCGAATACAGATGTAGCCGTAAGGCAAATTTAAACACACACATGAAAGTCCACACAGGAGATAAGCCGTTTGCCTGTGAGCTCTGTGGATACAGATGTAGCCATAAGGCAAGTTTAAACACACACATGAGAGTCCACACAGGAGAGAAGCCTTTTGCCTGTGAGCTCTGTGGATACAGATGTATCCAAAAGGCAAATTTAAACACACACATGAGAGTCCACACCGGGCAGAAGCCTTTTGCCTGTGAGCTCTGTGGATACAGATGTACCCATAAGGCAACTTTAAACACACACATGAGAGTCCACACAGGAGATAAGCCTTTTGCCTGTGAGCTTTGTGGATACAGATGTACCCAAAAGGCAAGTTTAAACACACACACGAGAGTCCACACAGGAGATAAGCCTTTTGCCTGTGAGCTCTGCGAATACAGATGTACCCATAAGGCAGGTTTAAACACACATATGAGAGTCCACACCGGGCAGAAGCCTTTTTCCTGTGAGCTCTGTGGATACAGATGTACCCAAAAGGCAAGTTTAAACACACACACGAGAGTCCACACAGGAGATAAGCCTTTTGCCTGTGAGCTCTGCGAATACAGATGTACCCGTAAGGCAAATTTAAACACACACATGAGAGTCCACACAGGAGATAAGCCTTTTGCCTGTGAGCTTTGTGGATACAGATGTACCCATAAGGCAAATTTAAACACACACATGAAAGTCCACACAGGAGAGAAGCCGTTTGCCTGTGAGCTCTGTGGATACAGATGTACCCATAAGGCAACTTTAAACACACACATGAGAGTCCATACAGGAGAGAAGCCGTTTGCCTGTGAGCTCTGCGAATACAGATGTACCCGTAAGACAAATTTAAACACACACATGAAAGTCCACACAGGAGAGAAGCCTTTGTCTGTAAGCTGTGTTGACAAAGATTTAGCCAAAAGACAAAGTTAAAGAGACATACGAGCATCCACACAAGGCTCGAGGGATTTATTTAACAACAGTACTTCCAAATGTACTATTTGGTTTTTTTACAACCTTAATATTAGTCTTGTACCTCTGCTCAACTATCGTTGATCGGCCCTTGAGTCACCTCTTCTTTTGATTTTCATTTTCAAATCTCCTTTGTTTTTTAAACTCAGACCTTAACCAAACATTTGAGATGTTCATTCATGAATTCTGAATACAAAAAAATTATTACTTAAAGATTAAGAAAAAACTGTTATACCCTCCTGTATTTAAGAAACATACAAGATAACAGACACATGATGGTTGTAGTACATAACCCACTGCAGTTTAAAGCTGTTAGATACCGGTGGCGTCTGCTTTAAACAATTTATCTGTATATAAAATAATAGCATACAATGTTGTAATAACTGCAGCTTAAAAATAATGTGTCTTTATTCATTTGGAGCCCCTAAGAAGAAATCCCACCTTAAAGGCCGTGGAGAGACAGCTGGGACTGTTGTCAAGAAGTCATAAATTACAAGGCGGCTCTGTGGAGACTCCATTCTCCTATAATAGTATTTTACTATTCTAAGCAGCCTTAGGAATGTGCCTGTACCAGAGTTTTTAGGGATGTTCTTACAGAGTTATAAGCAGTGGACAGATGCTGGAAAGACAGAACCGCTTTTGGGCTGCATGGTTCTCCACCGGTGTACCGATGCTTGTATTAACATGGACTAGATTGTAATAAACCGGTTATCTTTTTTAACTCAAACTTTGCCATGATTGAGTCATAGAACTCCAAGAAACAGCTCAGCATGAAAATTAACCACATTCCCTTTATTTCTGATGACACAACTAATCACTGCTGGTGGACGATTAATCACAGACACTTAGCACTTCTGCATGCGTTCTGTATTCAGTGTGAACGAGGCTTCACGCCCTCTCTCAGTAGCGCAGCATCGTGCGTGTTGCGTAATTTTTATATTACTCCCATATTACCTCAAAGAAAGTTTAGAGCACACACAGAGGGATTTGATTGATAATTTGGTAAATTGTAATCCTGCCAACAACAAACAACAACAAATACTTTGCAAAGGGTGAGAGAAATCAAATACACACCAGAGACGGAGGTCAGTTTGCTCTCACCCTTAGGCAAAGCCTTGGAGCTCCTTTTATTTAGGAAGGCACAGCCAGAAGTTACAGATAAACCCACACACACAATTCTTCAGAACCAGCTGACCGGGGTAACCTAATCAACAGATTTTTGGACCTTCATCTGTTCTCAGGAAGTTACAGATAACAGGAGGGTGATCAAATAGGTCATTCTTCACCACTCTAAAATGTAAAATAAAATCGATGACCCTCCATTTAAAGGAGACATAACATGAAAAACCCACTTTTTTATCCATTAACACTGTGTTTCACATTTTAAGTGTCTAAGTGAGCAAAAAGGCTTATATTATTCACTGGAGTTGCTATTTAGATATTTATTAATTAAGTTTTGGGCATATTTGTCCACCTGTTCAGTTTTTACATTATCTATTACATCAGTAATTAATTTAGTGAGGATAACTACCAAATATGGTAATGGCCCTCGGCTAAACACAGAGCCAATCCGCCATTTTTTCTTCTCGCTAAGATTTTTTGTAGTCCTATTGGAAAAATGCAGAATGTCTGGTTATTTTAGCCACACACAGCTCAAAACTGTTCCTCGTTTTAAGGAAGGGTGGTGTGGCAGTATTTAAACCCAGGAGCTGATGACACTACTGCTAAAAAACACAGAAGAAAAAGTAGTGTGTTTGTGTTTGTGTTTGTGTGAGTGCGCGCGCGTGCGCGTGGTTCGTTCGTTCGTGTCTTCCGGCTAGTAAGTACTGACGGCTTCATCTATCTAAAAGGAGTCATTTTTATCTGAATGTGGCAGCACCGGGACACAGCAGCAGAGCGGTAAGCTTCATATCACTCTAAAATGTCGACAAACTTTACTTTAGATTTACGGGCATTAGCAGCACTAAAGCGTTAGCATCCGGCTTGCTATCGCTAGCACAGTATGCTAGTAAAGTTAGCACCCAGATTAATGTGGATTTGGCAGATTTTCGTGGAATAAAACGTGATTTCTGATCAACGCCTTCTTTTACACCAGATGATAACCTCCCACTGATTGTAACAGCAGAGAGCCTGTGTGTTATTCTACGTGAGTGTGATGTAATCTTAGCATCCAGTAAATAAAGTCCCATATCAGCTTAAATGCAGCGTGACAAAGTCATTAAAGTGCGTCAACACAGTGGATTTAATAGAGTAGTAAGTCTGTCTGCACTGCTCTCTAATGAACTTCCTTTCATAAGGAATCATTCGTATAATTTTAGTGTCACTATTTTATTACATTTGTAAGAATATGAAGTCACTGCAGCAAAGTGAACTTGTGAACAAACACAAACGTAACTATAAACATGAAAGCTAAAGAAACGACTTTCCTAAAGCTGCTTGTAAACAAAATATGTCATTAATGTTATCGTCTATCATTGCAGAATATGGCGATGACATCATGGAACTGGTCTTTGGAAAAGTTTTCTCTGAACCAACTCCATTTCTAGATGAGGTAGAGAAGATCTGCATCTCACCAACCCTCTGATCTCAGTATTCAGACAACGGAGGTCTCCCACTGTTATCCAGGACCAGTTTGAAGCCCACATACTGCCCCTCCCTCATCATCAGGAAACATCAATCCGTATCCTGAGGACAACAGAAGACGGCAGGAGGACAGGAACTCTGAGACCTAGACACCACCAGCACCGGGACACAAAGCACCTGTGTGCACAACGCCTGTTTAACTACTAAAGCCTGTTTATTATATTGTTCTACTTATTTGCTGTGAGGTTAATACTTAGAAAATTTGTATATTAATGTAAACAATAAAAAAAAATCACTGATTGTATGTTTTCTTTTAGATGTAATGGTCCAAACTCCACCTTGTAGACATTTATTGCATCCTGTAGGTAAATACACAGAACAGGCTCAGATCCAGGATGACCCAGCATGCTCTTCTTCCATTCTGGCTGTTAGGGATTTTATCAATAACTCAATGCCTACTGATGTTTTCACCTAACGGTATTTATTTAGAATGCAGGTAAGATTTAACTATATTTGTTAGCAAAGCAGACTGATCTTGGGAATTTCACTGCAGCACTGATGTCCACCTCTCTGTACACATTAGAGAGAATTACCACTTTACAGCTAAACACATTTAATAAAGATATAGGCTACGCATTGCAGACAATAAAAACAAAGTTGTAAGCATTAGAATTATAATGATCACATTAAAGAACATTTGGAGGAATGTTCTTTATTTTTGACTCGAATCTCAAATCTTTAAATTAAAATGTAACTGCTTTTTATCCATTTTCAGCCATTAAGACACCCAATATTAAATAAGACTACTTATAAAATTATTTATAATTATATGTATGTATATATATAGATAGAGATCTTAATAAAATGTATTCTTTTAATGGTGTTTTAATGAGCTGTATCATTTTTTAAAACATTTTTTATAGAAATAAATAAGCAAGCAGCATTCCTTGTGTGTGTGTGTGTGTGTGTGCGCGCGCGCGCACGTGCCTGCTAGCTTGTCCCTCCGTCGGCCGTGACGGGTGTGTGTGAGTGACTACAGACAAATGCATGAGAGAGTTAGCAGCCTTGAAACAGCTTGATGAACTACTCTCCCCACATGTTTTAAAAATGCTAATATGCTATGCTAAATCTGCTATGCTAAATAATGATTTCTCTATAGAACTACAAAGTCCGACTGGGGGAGGAGAGTACAGGTCTGCACTATGGAGGGGGGGCGGAGTTTACAGCTCCTCCTCCAGTTTAAAGAGACAGTACCCAAAAACGGCTCGTTCTCAAGACTCTCCTCAGAACAGGGGTAGATGAGGGTCTGTAGAGCAACAATAATTAGGAGATCAGACCAAAGAACTGCAGTTCCACTGTTTTTAGACCCCCAACTGAAGGATTTAGATGTAAAAAGGAATAACTTAAAAGCATGTTATGTCTCCTTTAAACAAACACCTACACTTACATCAATAACCCTGTGACGTCAAAATCAGTTATATCCATCAGTGCGGTTGTCCTGTTCTGATTTTTTTCATGTAGTTGTGGTTTAGGCATTTTTTTGCCATTATCACTGATAAAAGCTGTGGGTTTATTCATTTGTGAATGAATTAAGCAATACAGATCACAGTCCAATGTTTTTGTTTTGTTTTGATTTTTAAGTAAGGTTCAGCAAATGCTGTCGAATCACTGAACGCCATCATCTGGGAAGTGAAATGTGAACTGTTTCCAAGTACCGCTGTAATGGGCTTGCATACCACTAGGCAGAAGAAAAAATATTTGCATTTAGAGTCTCACTCACTGATTGGCTCTGCCACGTCAGGCTAACGTATGATTGGCTGTCCCTCTAACTCGCTGCCATGGAGACGACAGACCGGTGTTTTGCCTGTCTGCAGGAGTCTGCGTTCATCTACCTGTAAGTTTTTATTCAGCCTGCATCACGTCAGCTGGATGGATTTTAACCTCAGAGCTTTTGTTTACATTAACATTTGAGTCCATGTGTGTGTGTGTGTGTGTGTGTGTGTGTGTGTGTGTGTGTGTGTGTGTGTGTGTGTGTGTGTGTGTGTGTGTGTGTGTGTGTGTGTGGAGCAGAGTTAGCATGTCGGACAGAAAAGTGAACATGAGAGACTTCTTCTGAAGTGAAACTAGAGAAACACAAGAACCACGTTATTTCTCACTCTAGATTCTCCGCGTCATAACTTCTGAATGACTGATGGAATTAAAACAATTCCAACGGTTTCAAAAAGGACATAAAATGAGCTTTCCAACGATGTAATTCACGTTACTCCAAAAATCGCTATTAGAGGGAAACCGGCTTTGCAGCGTCACAGACAGAAACGGAGCGAACCGTGACGGGAGAGCGGAACGACCCGGAGGAGATCATCTGATCATCTGCATCAGCTTTTATAACGTTATGGAAACGTCACACAGAAAATCCACCTGGTTGGTCAGGTGTCCCAGAAGTTTCTGTAGCTGGTGACACGATGGACAAATTACAATCACACTTGTTTTTATTTGAACACTCAACTATTTACTAAATGATTCAGCTTCATTCCAGCATTATTTATACTTACAGTAAATATTAATTTAGCTGAAAATAGAAATTTATATCAGTGCAGATTTTTATTAGTTAAGTTTATGTCATGAAAAGTTTAACTTTCACATGTTATTACCATTTATGTGGCTTATTGATCTTTATAATGCTGGTAGGAATGTAGCTACAGTTGTGATGAATGTTTGTTTATTTAAGGACCGTGTACAATATTAAACATACATATTGAAATTTGATGCATTGTACCAGATTTAACGTGAAGCTAACTCACATCTGCAGTCCTGAATGAATGAGTGTTATCTCATGTGTAGCGTCATGAATGGCCTCTAATGTGTGACAAAGGTCACATTTTCCCAGCTGGGTCAAGCTGGGTCGACTGTAACTTTGCCCCACAGATTAACCCGCCAGGAGCCGTGATGTCTGCTGAAACCATCTTTATCTGCTGCTGTTCCGTCCCAAGACGAAGGACACCTCAAGTTTCACAATAATTGTTTTAAATAATAATTTTAATAATCTCTTGACTTTATTACTGTTATTACAACCATCATAAATAATCTCTTGATTCAGTATAAATGTATTTTAATTACTGGAATGACTTATTATGCTTGGGTATAATAATAATTATGGTTGATAATCCTAATGTGTGTTCAGTAAACCAGAAGGTCATCTTGCACGTTAGCCAGCCTCATTCAGAAGGGATCCAGGGTAAAGGGAAAAACCATCACATGTCTTTACTTCATGACCAAGCTTTCTGACGCTGAGAGGGCGTGTTCTGAGGGTTTTGTTAAAACCAAATCCCGCAGCAAAAAGTTCAGTTCTTGAACATACCAGGAGAAGAGGGACGGCCGCCCGAATCTCTACTAAGCATTCTGTCACGCCGATAGAGTTGCTCCGAATAAACGCACCTGTTTCCAGCTGACGCAAAACTCCTTCAGAGTTATTTTATTTTGAGACGCAAATAGTTCCACCAGTCGAGTGACCCACGGAGACATCTCAGGATTGATTTGGTCACACTAAGGTCCTACCAACCTCGTGCCTGGAGGAAACCATCTCCATCTGACATCTCGGATCCAGAAGAGGGTCTCCTGATACTGGGTGAGGTAGACATTCTTGACAGATTGCGTCTGTATGCCGTTTCTTCTAATAAACATCAGTTAGCTGCAAAACTACTTTCCACCCAGAAACGCTTCTCTCGCTGAAAGAAACCTTCTGATATTCATTCACGCATTCAAAAACTCGCATTTTCATTTTAGCTTCCATTCAGTCACAGGTTTGCTTTTTAAAACAAGTTTTAACATCAAATTGTCTGTTAAAAATTGTCATTTCAAATTGTCATTTTTTAAAAGTGTTAGTAATAAATTCTTAACTTTAAAAACTTGACTCTTCTTTGAAATGGAACACAGAATGGTGTATATTTCTGGTTATTGAAAAAGCAAAGATTCCTTTAAACTTCTGATTAAATAAACAAACTTTTGCTATTAAATTTAATTATCTTAAATTAAACATTAATCTTTGGATTAAAAGTAGACCAAGCTCGTTGGCATATGAACTTCTATCGAATATATAATATCCTAGATATTTATATATGATAAACAGTGTTGGTCAAGTTACTTGGAAAAAGTAATTAATTACTAATTACTGATTACTTCCCCCAAAAAGTAATCCTGTTACTTTACTGATTACTTATTTTCAGAAGTAATTAGTTACTTAATTACTTAGTTACTTTGTGAAAATATGAAACACAACCTGACTAGGCTATAAGTATATTCCGTCATATAAAATTCAATCATGAAACAGTCTGCTCTTAAATTGTTTTTAGTGGTTTTAACTTTTTCCTTTACAAACATTGCATGAAGAAAAAACTAAATAAACGAATGCAGCCGGCTCCTATACAGTCAAAGAAATTAGTTTAATACATAAACCTGTTTATTGCACATTTCACCACATTTTAAGAATAAATCAAGTTTTTTTTCTTACAGGTGCTGGCCAGTAAATTAGAATATCATCAAAAGGTTGAAAATATTTCAGTAATTCCATTCAAAACGTGAAACTTGTACATTATATTCATGCAATGCACACAGACCAATGTATTTCCAATGTTCATTACATTTAAATTTGATATTCATAAGTGACAACTAATGAAAACTCCAAATTTGGTATCTCAAAAAATTAGAATATTCTGAAAAGGCTGAATATAGAAGACACCTGCTGCCACTCTAATCAGCTGATTTACTCAAAACACCTGCAAAGGCCTTTAAAAGGTCCCTCAGTCTTGTTTTGAAGGCACCACAATCATGGGGAAGACTTCTGACTTAACAGCTGTCCAAAAGACAATCATTGACACCTTGCACAAGGAGGGCAAGACACAAAAGGTGATTGCTAAAGAAGCTGGCTGTTCGCAGAGCTCTGTGTCCAAGCACATTAACAGACAGGCGAAGGGACGGAAAAAATGTGGTAGAAAAAAGTGTACAAGCTCTAGGGATAACCGCACCCTGCAGAGAATTGTGACGACAAACCCATTCAAAAATGTGGGGGAGATCCACAAAGAGTGGACTGCAGCTGGAGTCAGCGCTTCAAGAACCACCACGAGGAGACTCATGAAAGACATGGGATTCAGGTGTCGCATTCCGTGTGTCAAGCCACTCTTGAACAAGAAACAGCGCAAGAAGCGTCTCGCCTGGGCCAAGGACAAAAAGGACTGGACTGATGCTGAGTGGTCCAAAGTTATGTTTTCTGATGAAAGCAAGTTCTGCATTTCCTTTGGAAATCAAGGACCCAGAGTCTGGAGGAAGAGCGGAGAAGCACAGAATCCACGTTGCATGAGGTCCAGTGTAAAGTTTCCACCGTCAGTGATGGTGTGGGGTGCCATGTCATCTGCCGGTGTTGGCCCACTCTGTTTCCTGAGGTCCAGGGTCAATGCAGCCGTCTACCAGGAAGTTTTAGAGCACTTCATGCTTCCTGCTGCTGACCAACTTTATGGGGATGCAGACTTCACCTTTCAACAGGACTTGGCACCTGCACACAGTGCCAAAACCACCAGCACCTGGTTCAAGGACCATGGTATCCCTGTCCTTGATTGGCCAGCAAACTCGCCTGACCTTAACCCCATAGAAAATCTATGGGGTATTGTGAAGCGGAGGATGCAATACGCTAGACCCAACAATGCAGAGGAGCTGAAGACGACTATCAGAGCAACCTGGGCTCTCATAACACCTGAGCAGTGCCACAGACTGATCGAGTCCATGCCACGCCGCATTACTGCAGTTATTGAGGCAAAAGGAGCCCCGACTAAGTATTGAGTGCTATACATGCACATTCTTTTCATGTTCATTCTTTTCAGTTGGCCAACATTAGAGAAACAAACATTTTTTCATTGGCCTTTAGAATATTCTAATTTTCTGAGATACCAGATT